CAATTGATTCAATATAATCAGTCCACTTCATGTCAGTGGAAAATGTGAGTTCAAGAAGGTGCAGAGTTGCTCTCCAGGAACTTAGCATCAGCCATGCTCATGGCAGGCAAAAATGTTTCTCTACGGTTATTAAATGAAAGTATTTTTGTTTTGGAGGCGTTAAAATTAATAATCCATTCTTTGCCCCAGTTAACCAGTGATTGGAGGTCATTTTTGCGAATAATTTTCAGTTTTACTTTGTTGAACCAATATGCTTGCTATTAAGATGTGAATAAATAATTGTGTCACCAGCATAAATTCATATTTGAGAATTTGATGACATTGGGAATCTCACTGATGAAGATCAGAAACAATGTAGGTCCAAGGATTGAGCCCTGGGGAATCTCACATGAATGTGAAATGAACTAGAAACATGTCTATTCAACACAACCTTCATTACACAATTTGTTAGGAATGATTGAATTAAGCCAAATAGTCATCCAGAGACACCATAACTCTTGAGTTTGTGGAGAAGGCCAGCATCCCAAGCCCTGTTGAACGCCTTTGAAATATCTAGTCACAGCCCAAGCTTTGTTATTCTTATCTAAAGCTTGATAGACAAATTTAGTAATAGCCATTGATCCATCAGTGATAGATCTGGAGAAATGAAAGCCATATTATTTATCTGAAAGGAGGCCATGTGAAGTGAGGTGCTTAACCAATTTGGCATTGATTAGAGATTCTAGTACTTTGTCAAAACAAGATTGATAGGACAATTTGAAGAGTCAGAAGGTTGTTCCCCAGAGTTCTTAAATACAGGAAGTACAGAGGAGGATTTCCAACAAGCCAGAAGCAGCGAGGCACTTATTGTAAAATTTGAAGAGAACAAGCCAGGTCAGGAGCAAATTTCTTTAGGACAATTGAAGGGATATCATCAAATCTTCAAGCCTTGTGGGGATCTAGTTTATAAATGATAGCAGAAACCATGGATGGAGTTCTGTGCATATTACTTAGTAAAGACTATGTTCTAGGGGTAAAATCAGTCGAAAATACTCTTGATGAGTCAAAAGTGGAAAGAGAATTTCTGAGCAAAGCATTCTGCTTTATTTGCAGTAGATGGTAATACTTCAAATTGATTGAAGAGATGAGGGACTGATGATTTGCTCTTGTTCAGCACATTCTTGCAAAGCTGCCAGTAATCTCTAGAGCCAAAATTATAGAGAGGCTGTATGGTGTCTCATTCTATCAGTGAATAGTAACTTTGCCTCTTTTAGGATACACTTACACTCATTATAAGCAATTACAAAGAGGTGTCTGTTGTAATTGGACCTGTTGCATTGGTATAGCTGGAAGAAGTGATTCCTGTAGGCTATAGCAGCTGAACAGGCAGGAGAGAACCAAAAAGATTATTGTTTCACTTGGTAATTCCATGCTGGCACAAATGTTACAATGTTGTTTTTCAGCCAGGAAGAGATCTCAGGGGCACATTTCTGAACAGAATGATTAAAAATATCATTCCAAGAGGTATTGCAAAGAAAATCATGAAATGAGTCCCAACAGTGCAATGATAACAGAAAGATGTACTTTTAATAGGAGGGGTTTTGCTTATTGATACATGTTAGTAAATATTGATAAAGTAAGAAATAAGGGTCAGTAAGATTTTCCACTAGTATTAAGGGACCCACTATATCCAGATACACTGTTTGGAAATGATTAAAAGGTAAATCAAATGGCTGAATTTCACTCTTTGTATGTTTGGCTATTTTTGCTTTCTAGCAATGCTGACATTCCTTGTCCAATTCTTTTATTGATCTGCTCATATCTGGCCACAAGTAGCTTGTTCTTATCATTTTTATTGAAGTTGATATCCCAGTGCATGATAAATTATATAGACTATCAAATAATGATTTTCTGAGCTCTTGTGTCATGGAAAGGGTAATACCACATCACATAGAATGGTTTGATTTGCATTTATAGGATATGGTTTCAGCTGATCATGGAAGTATTTCATACCTTCAGCAGTAGCTTGGTGTTTTACCTTTTCCTGTAAATAACATACATCTCATATAGTAACAGCATGAGCTGGTTGAGATAAGCAATCAGCTACTATATTCTGAATACCTTTTATATATGAAATATCACTAACATATTCATTTATAAAACAAAGGTGACATTGTTGTCTGTCAGATTTCTGTGAAGTTTGACTTTTGAAAGCATTACAAAGAGGTTTGTGATCCATTAATAACAGCACATTCCTGTCTTCTATCTGGTGTTTAAAATGCAAAACTACCAGGTAGGCAGCTAGCAATTCCATATTGAAGGTGGAATGTTTTTGCTGCATCTGTGATCCTTTTTGAGAAAAAAAAAAAAAGAATCAGAATCAGTTGAGTGCTGATCATTTGATGTAATGTCACAACTAGAGCATAATTAGAACTGTCACAAGCTGATAGTTATTAACATTTGAGTTGAAGTAGGTGAAAGCAGTTACATGATAAAGTCTTTTTTATAGTTTCAATAGATTCCATCATTTTTTTTTAGTGTTAAGTCTTTCAACTTTGGAATCATATGCTAAAACATGACCTCATTTCCTACAGAAGTTGGCCATGCAGTCATGTGACAGAGGAAAGTCATTCAACTCAGCAAATTTCTTAACACTGGGTTTAATACCATCTCTACAAATGCCAAATCACCAAAATTCAAGTTTGTGAGCACCAAACAGACATTTCGAAAGAGAAATTTTAAGGTCACACACAGATTTTGTATATCTCGGTTGAGGTGCTTGGAATGAGTTTCTTTGCTATTTGAGAAGATGAGGATGTCATCGATGTTTATGAATATACAACTGAAGTCATAGAAGATATTGTTCATCATCTGCTGAAATGTACTTGATACATTCCATAGTCCAAAAGGCATATAATTGTACTCAAATAAACCAAACAGTATTGTAATGACTGCTTTACTTACATCATCAGGGTGAAATGACACTTGATAAGCTGATGATAAAGAATTTATATAAGAATTTATATTTGGCACTTAGTGCCAATCTACTTTTGTTATTGAATTTAGTTGTCTGCAGTAACTTACAGGTCTATATGTACCATTCAACTTCAGTACCATGTGTAAGGCTCCATTCTGATTTTGAAGAGGATATTATTCCTGCTTTTTGAAGTTTCCTAAATTCCTCTTTCGCTATGTTGAAAGTCTGTGCCATCTGTTGTCATTTAGAGAATGTAGAAGGGTTGTTAGCAATCTCAATCCAATGAAAAATGTTTGGTTTTGCTGCACTAGGATTGCAGTTAGATGAAATTATGTTTAGACATTTTTTCCGTAATACTGTGTACTTCGAGTCAGCAGCGTTATCTTGGTTCACTTTCACCTTGAATTAAGATAAATTGGAAAAGAAGTACAAAGTTTTTCAGCCATCTTTCTTCTAAACTTCAGTGAAATCAGCTGGGTTATCTAAGAAATACAATGTATAAAGACTTGTCATTCCAATTATAAGTTCCAATTATAAGTTCAATTGACTTTTGGGAAAACAGTATTTTATGGGATCTTTCCCATAATAATAATAATGGACTATTCCATACTTAATAAATACTGCGCCTCAGGAGTAGGCAAGGAGTCAGTAGTTCAAGTCAAGTCAGAGACAGTCCGAAACAGGAGAAAAAGTTTTTTTTAAGGCATATAAAAATAATACCTCTTACTGGGAGCAAGGCATAATTGAGAAAAGAATTGGTAATATGATGTACATAGTACAAGGAAAAAAATTCTCACACAGAAGACACATAAACCAAATAAGGAAGAGACCGTTACAGGATGCTAATGGTCCACCTCAAGAAGAGGTATTGGACACGGTTTTCGATATAAAAAGACCGCAAACAATGCCAGAACCAAGAAAATCATCAAGAAAAAGAAAATTCACTGAACCTTTGGAAATAGATCCAAAGAAAAAAAGATATCAAAAAAAACCCTGCTACGCAAAAGTTTCGGAAGTGGAGTGTTATGGGATCTTACCCATAATAATGGACTATTCCATACTTAATAAATACTGCACCTCAGGAGTAGGGAAGGAAACAGTAGTTCAAGTCAAGTCAGAGGCAGTCCGAAACAGAGTGGCGTTCAGACAATTACTGCAAGACATTGGAATAGTGATACTGGTCGAGACTACATTGTTCTCTCTACTAAACCTGATTGTTCATACTAACACTTCTACTTCTCTGTATATATTCCTGTTTGTAATATATCTGTGTTATTCCATACCTGTGTTCGAGTTCTTCTTTATTGGTTCTACCTTGGACTATCACAGTGGTACAAGGAACCGGACCATAACATAGTATATAAAAGTAATTCACTAGGTGATTCTTCATAAGCATTTTAGACAACTTAGACCCTGGTCTTCTATTGTAGGGCATCAAATGGAAATAAAATTGTTATCATACCTGCCAAGCTTCCACACTCCATTATGATCATTATCTCTATCACCAGCTTGAATGACATTGCCCACATTACATATAGCATCATGTGCATCATATGTACTTGTGTCATCATAAGCAAAATCAACTTTACATTTACTAATTTCTCTCAATTTCAGGTCTGAATTATGTATAATTTCTTCCTGATATTGCTAAATATGAAGTAAATGATAATGTTAACCTTTTTAAGTTTCCATGGTAATAATCTAAATGAAAAATATGAGAAAAGTAATTGAATTTGGTATCAAAATAAAGAGAAACTTCTCTGTAAAATTCCCCTGCAGGTAGAAAATAGAACATAGTATGAAATTTGATTGCAGCTGAACATGGCATAGTGCTAGGAATTCAATTAGCATCATACACAACATCAATTTAGCAATTCAATGCAGTGAAAGGGTTAAAGTATTAAAAATTCAACATAGTTTATTCCTATTACAAGAACACATTAAAACAAATAAACATTTACAGCTATGTTTTTTATCTATACCTAGTAAAATAATACAATTACTAGTTAACTAATCAAGAAAACATTGTAAATTATTGACTAACCTTTTTTTTATTTTTTACTATACAGTGGATATCAATACCTAATGTTGGTTCTCCTTTGCTGTCCCAGGCTGTGTAAGCATGCAGCTGAAATAAAATTCAAGAGTTATACAAATATTTTATAACAGTAACTAAACAATTTCTATGAGATAATTCTAAAAGAATTTATACAGAATATGCTTTATCTTTTCTTAGATCACTTTTTAAGAATGTTTTATATTTATTAAGTTAAATGACCTAGATTAACATCACCACATTGGGCTTTCCTTTAAAAATTAAAAACTTCTCATGAAAAATAAACAAAATTAAAAAATATATATACTGAGCCTAAAGAAAATAGATAAAAATTCCACTGAATGTATGACCTTGTGACTTATTTAAACATATAAACATGCATGCCAACACATTGAAGATGAAGTTTAGATTAAAACTTACAAAAATAAATATGTACATTAAGGAAAACTCCAACCACAGCGAACATTTAAAAAAATGTGGAAAAGATGTGAAAGTGATAGGGAAAGTATAAACCCATCTGCACAGATGCTGAAAAATGTGTGCTTTTGCAAAAATATTTGTCATGCTTTTTAGTATTCCTTGATCAAGATACATAAAAGTTCATTATAAAAATGAACTGAGAGTTCTAAATGTGTTTACATCAATTATAGGTTATTTTGCTATTTTTCCATAGGTTTTATATCTTTAGTAATTATCCAAAACTGACTATCTTTTAATTCTTATTTTAATCTGTCATTATGGAATAAATCTACACAATATAATTAGTGTTACATTTTCAATTTTTCTCTTTGCTAGATATATTCTTTAAATTATTAAAATTTTAAATGGTATGATGTATGAAAATATCAATAAGGTTGGCAAAACAATTTTAATCTTAGTTGTTAATCATACTTTTTACAGTTAAATATAAATACCATAGAAAAAGTATGTATGTAGCAATTCATATGCAAACATTTAAACTCTTACATAAATACATAGTGGTTCCAAAATTTTGATAAAATCTAATGGATGTAAGTTCTAAAAGTTTTGCTAATGAACTTGTCTCTTAACTCACAGTTTAACATTTTGTTTTGTCATAAAATTTATATAAAAGAAGGGAGACATAGTTCAGTGAAACAATTATAAATTGATACACTGAAGGGTTAATATGATACCAGAAAGCATTTCATGTAACCTACCCTTCACTATTTTGCTATTTCTTTTGGTAAATGACTTTATCTGACCAAATGTGTTTGCTTGTTAGGATAAAAATTGTAAATGTTTGCATCAATTACAGATTCTAATGAAACTATCATGAATATTTATAGTCAACTGAAGCTGTCAGAGTTACCTCCTCCTTCTATCCTTGAACCGGCAGAGGAACAGGTCATTTCGACCTTGACCTCTCATTCATGCTCCTTACACACTGTTAACACGTCGGAGGGACTAGCAAATCCCCTTTTTAGTTAGGTTATATTATAAACCTAGTTGTAATATACTACTAGTCATTTTTAGACCATAGTTCTCTTTAGATAACCTCGTAGTATTTTATTATAGAGACTTTTTGGTTAGCTTAGCCAATTTCTCTTGCTGGTCTCCCTTGTCACAAGACAGTGATTTTCGCTAGATTCTAGGGGGGCGGTCGGCGACCTAAACGGTCAATACGCAGGCCCTTGGCCTTCATTGGCCAAGTTATGCCGATCAATGGGCTGTGTTTTTTTTTTTTGCCAACTTGACGATAGTTGGGAACTTTCTTTCTCTCTCTCCTTCCCAACATGTCAAATTGGCATCCTGGCAATGACAAACAACAAGTTGGCAACACAAACTACAGCAACAAGTTGGCACCCCGGCAATGACAAAACATGTCAAGTTGGCACCCCGGCAATGACTCAGCTTCAACAACCACCAAGCGATCATCCTGGCAACAACCCACATCAGCTTCAACCCTCAACAACGATGATCCTAGCAACTACCAACGCCAACTTCGACCACCAATGCCTGCAGCATCCAGCTCACTCCTGCAGCTACCAGCACTCCTGCAGCTTCTGCAGCTTCCAGCTCACTCCTGCACTAAAACTTCTGCACCTCCATCGTTCCGACCATCTTTATTTCCTTTTTCTTTCCCTGAATAAATTAACATTTATCGTACATATCCTCGTTCTGTCGTCTATATTGTTTCACTGTCAGATTTAATGTCTTCAAAAATGTCAGCGGGCCTCTTGTGACCTCGTTCATCCCTTTCTGTGATATGGGGCCGCACGGAGTGCCCGCTACAAAGCTAATCTATAAGCAGATCACTTTTTTCATCAAAATACTGGTTCATTATTTTATAGTTTTTAGTAACAAACCAGTGTAAACACTTATGAAATGTTAGTTTTTCCTAGGGTGATAACTTATTTCACAGTAAATTTTACTACCTACAAATATAAATATACACACAAATGAATTTACATATTTGATGTATGACATAAAGCAAATAAAAGCCAAATGTTATTTGTCTAAATTGAAAAGATACACATTATCTAAATATTTAGACAAGTTTTTTTACAATCTGAATCTGATAAGTGATTAAAAATATTTTGGGTTATTAATTCATTTTTAATAGAGATATTGTAGAAAAAAATGAAAGAAATTTATTTATATTAAAAATTGCTTTAGTGTGAATTTACATTTTTTATTCTTTCTTCTCCTTCCTCATTATCTTTACTTTCCATGTACTTTTTTCCAAGATTTTAAGCTTATCTTGGAAATTTTCTAACATGCAGTTAGATAGCTTGTCTAATGCAAACTCCTTAATCTGTAACCTATGACTTGCTCCATGGCTGAAATAGTTACATATTTCCCCATGGGGGCCAAAGACTTGTATTTGAATCAAAGTAAAAGCAGAATTTTCAAAGGTGATTTTCTAGACAAACACTTAGAAGATTGGAGTGACACAATCTTCCTACTTTTTTGAATATACGCTCCTTTAGCGCTAGAGGGCGTCATCAGTGATGTTCTAGAAAAGGATCATTGGACAGTTACGGGTCTTTCAAACATCATACTGACCTCACCAAATCGACCCGTTCAGAGCTGATTAGACTCTGAAACGCCCTCTAAAAAATGCTTGTTTGTGCTGACTTTTATAAGAATACCCCGTAATCTCACATTTGATTGAGATTGACCAACAGCCAATCACAACGGTAAAATGAATAGATCTATTTAATCCGTTTACGGGTAATTTTTACTTTTTCTTTTTTGGTGGACACCCCCTCATCGGATACTTAGAAGGTAATTATGTTTTCCGTTTTACCCTTCCCCTCACGTTTCATTTCACCAGCAATAATTACTATATACAGAGATAAGAAAATACAGCCATTGAAATTAATAAATAGAATACAGCGAATCAAGTGCTTATAAATAAAACCGTTTTAAAACTTTATGAATAATAATGTATGTATAAGAAATAAGTAAATTACAGCGAGTTAAAACCGAGAGATCTTATAAATTACATAAAACATCTAAGACATGTTGACGAATAAAAAAAAAAAAAAAAAAAATATATATATATCATAATGAAACGTTTAAAACATGTAAACGAGTAAAAAAAATAATAATCTTGTTTATGCGATTAAAATGAATAAATACAGCGAGGATGCTAATAAAAATCTTAATGACACGTTTAAAACATGTTGACGAGTAAAAACCCTAATCTATTAATTATAAAATTAAATATATGTTTTTTAGAAACGAGGCAAGAAGGGGGGGGTAAAAAAAAATTCACTTTTACATTAAATTTAAGATTTCCCCAGTTTGCTTGACCATACACTTTTTTAGCCATAGCCATTTAGCAGTTCTTTCTGCTGTCTCAGTGATGGTTTGGATGGCTTTTCGTTTTTTTGATCCCACTATCCCAATGTCTTTTAAGGCGCTGATTAGTGATCTTGCCACAAAAACCCCTTGTGCCTACTTCGATTGGTTTGCAGCTTGCCTTCCATCCATTTTTCCTACAACTTTCTAATAATTCATCGTATTTTAGTTTTTTCCTTTCATTGGCTTCTTCAGCGTTATCCTCATAACAGACTGTTAGTTCCCACATAATGACCTTCTTTAGTTTATTGGAAAAAAGGATTAGGTCTGGACGCATTCGCCTTTTGGAAATGTGCTCAAGGGGAAGTTTAGCCTTTTACCTAAATCGACTCTGAGTTCCCAGTCTGTTGCACATGATAAACAGTTGTGCGGTCATTTTCTTTAGGTTCGGTTTCGCTCCAGCTTTAATAAAATTTATAAAATTCATGTTTGAATTCGGTTTGTTTGTATGGATGGCTGTGCTAACGACCTCCGCAATTTCTTTTTTTAAAATTTGGTCATGGCGCCATCTATACCTACCATCTGCTAGGGCTGATTTGCAGTTGCTTAGTATGTGTTTTAAGGAACCTATTTGACCGCATAAGGGGCATGAGGGCGATTCTGATTTAGTCCATAATTGTAGGTTAACGGGGCTTGGTAGGAGGTCATAAACAGATCGGATCAAAAAGTTTATGCCCAATTCGTTACGCCATAAATCCAACCATCCAACTTTCCTAGGAATCATTGTCTCCCACTTTGTCCATGAACCTTGTTGTTTAAACCCAATCATCATTGTTACTCTCAATTTCTCTTTCCCTGCGCGAATTTCGTCCAGTAAGAGTTGGTGCTTTTCCTTACCTACGGCTTTGTCAATTCTAACAGTAGGAAAGAAACCCAGCCCTGCCCGACCCGTGGCGACATTGCCCAGCATCACTTTTTCGCGAAGACGCTCTTCTGCCACTTCCAACTCCTTTACAGCGTTCCATTTTCTCCCAGTGTAAACCTCAATATCTGCTTCTGCAACTTTTGGATCCTTGGAGAACTTGTATTGTATTAATGTTCGCACCTTAGCGACTTTATATTCTTCTACGAGGCTTTTAAAGGGAAGTTGAAGAATGTTGGAATTTCCGTAAAGGGCGGCACTACTTAGACACTTTGGTAGACCTAGCCATTTCTGTAAACTTGAGTTGATGTTCTTTTCTATGTGTTCTACGGTAGAGGTAGTAAACTCATAGATGGACAAAGGCCACAATATTTTGGGCAGA